TGCCCATGGCAGGGGGGCTGGAGTTAGATGATCTTTAAGGTCCCTTCCAGCCCAAGCCATTCTATGATTCTATGATAAGGTGCAAAACCAGTGCCAATAAAGAGAAAATGCATTGCTTTCAGGTTGAAACATTTGCCAATTTTTTGTAAGACATAGTACTGGATAATAAACACTTTCATGTTTGAATCCTTATCCATGCTACATGAAAATGTCTCAATAAAGAAATCATTCTAAGCATAATCTTAGCTTACTCTTAGCATTCACTTTTTCTGAGCATGTCATAATGCTAAACTGCAGCCTTCTTATCAGAAGCCGCCAGTTTACAGAACTGCTTGAGTTAGTGTGCCCCTCTCTGTGTTTGCCAACACTAGAAGCATTACTACAATTTTAACATCAGCAGCTAAATTATGCATTAACTCTGGGGTTTTTTTCCCCTCTTTTACAAGCTATGCCTTATTAACTGTACTTACCACAACCTTTGTGGTGGATGTTTCTTCACCTAAACCATGACGATACATTCAGTACTACTGTTTTGGTATACTCTTGTCAAATATTCTAATCTGACAACAAAAAGTTATTTGTGTACACACTGCACGCAATTTCACAGAACAGTTAGCTATTAACTATATATTTTTTCCTTGATTTGGTTTTTTTTTTCATTTCACTTTTAATACATTTTAGTGAACATCAGCTGAATCAGTTCTGCAGTGTAGGGAAGTGTAGGGCAAACAGTCAGATATGAATACACTCCAACTTCACTGCATATTCTGGAACATAAAACTCCATAGAACTACAAAATAATGGAAGTCTTATTAATATGATTTCACAACACTGTTTGTAAGGCCTGTACATGTGATAAGATTATTATTTACAACTAAGACCAATGAAAAAAAGAATTTCATTCTGGAAAAAAAAAAGTTGACAGTCTGAAATGTTTTTGTACTAGTGAAGAATGGAAACAAGATCTTTCTTAACACAAAACAAACCCTTCCATGCTTAAAGTTAAAAAGGAAAAATAATCTATATTTGGCAAATTATGCAGATCCTAAGTATCACTTGCATGAAAAACAAATAACCAATTGTCTAAGCTTTTCCTCCTTCTTCATCTAAAATTCATCTTAATCGCTTTTATTCAGAGCTGTTCCTCTGTCCCTTCATTACCAAGTATCCCCCACACGCATCTCTCAACAAATCCTGTTTTGAGACAATGATAGTCTGGGATACATAAAAAGCATTAATGTAGATGAGAGATTTTTGCTAAAACAGTGAGTTAAAACCATTGGTGAAGAAGGCTTACAAAGATTTAAAATCTTTTGTTGTTTGCTAGCTTATCTCTATTGTACATGTAAGTAAGTTACAAAAGTAAGGATCTTTCAAAGCTACAGTCTTTAGCTAAGGGTCTTGTCATATAAAAAGCATGAAAATAAATATAGGAGAAAATTTTAAAAAAATGGGGTCCTTCCATACCTGGGGGTGTTGCTCAATAATGGACAACAATTATAAGCAGAAAATAGACTAAAAACCTTTCTAAAGACTGTAATTAAAAGGCAGGGAAGCTTCTTAAATTATGTATCTTTAATCACAATACTTCAGATGAATTTAGCCACTATCTAGGCTGACCCAAAGTTAAATTAGGTCCTATGTAAACAACGATATGCCATGCGCACGACCATGAAAGCCACAACTATGGCTAAGTTTTGCTTCCAGTGAGACATCCTTAAGACGGGGAGAGTCCCTGCAGAATTGCAGACTTTGCAGCTGCCTAGAAATTATTCTGCAGACAAATCAGAAATGCTTCCTCTTTCTCTCATGCACAGAACAGCTTTTCGTTCATAAAGTTAGTGTACAC